GACATGAAACTGGTGTTCAGTTTTTGAGCAAACTTTGGGCGATCATGCATGTTGGTCTGGACGTTTCGGCCCATCTCGGGGCCTGTCGGAGTAGGTTTGGGCCTTGTTGAATCCTGTTGGGGCACTCTTCGGTTCTCTCGGGGTCGCTCTTTGGGGCAATCTTGGCACATCTTCTTGGATCTTCAATTACGGCCGTTTTTGAGGCTGTTCGAGTTGTTTGTGCTTGAGGCGGTCTTGGATTGTCTAGGTGATGTCTTGGGGCTGTCTTGGAGACCACTGGGGAGCCTCTGGGGCAGTAATGGGGGCATCGTGGGGGCATCTTTGGCCATCTTGGGTTTTCTCGGGAGCCCATTGCAATGGCTTCGACATATCTGTGCCCATCCCAGGGCCATCTTGATTTGAAAAACGGGAAGACAAACCATGTACGGATGCCGAACGAGTTTTTTTAAGTTTGTGGGGTAGCCATCTTGGAGCCTTTGGTTGCCTCCGGGGGCCATCGTAGGGCCATTGGTGGAAACCCCACGGGCAACCTTGAGCGATTCGGGGGCCACCATGGGCAATCTTAAGCGACAGGGGGTGCCTGATAACCAAGTTGATTATTTTGTTTGGACTTCAGAGTCCGCAAGGTTGCGATAATGTTACGTCGGGCCTGTCCCTCTACAAGGGGAATATTCAAAAATAGCCCCAAAATAATCAGGGGACGATTTTTGGACATTTTTCTTGCATGTTTGAAATATTTTTCATTTGCCGTCTAAAATCCGCCTGGAGGGGGACATGCCCGACCTAACGATAATGGGCTTGTCGCCCCCCCCCCAGGCCCCACCCCCCACCCACTCAAAAGGAGTCCTGGCCCTCTGGGGAGTGGGAACCACCTGAAAGGGGACAGCCAATCATCTCACACGCCTGTCCACCCAGAAGAAGCGGATGTCGGCGGACCATGTTCAAGATTGAAGACTAGAAGTGGTTTGAACACAGCCCACTTTGTCGTCCGAGCCCGCGTCAAATTGGATCCGCCGTCCGAGATTGGCGTGCCTGGAGCGACGCCGGCCGTTCGCGGAACCAGGCCATCGCGCAGATGCGGCCCCCGCGTTGCCAAGCGTTCGTGTCGACCCGCACTCCGCCGAGGCGACTTCGCGCGCAGCTTGGCGGCGGCATCAGGCCGCATCGGAGACCTTGCGCCGCAGAGCGCGGGCGGCGTAGAGAACGGGGTCCATGGGCCAGCAAATGCAGGGGTGTACAGGGCGAGCTCCAGCAAAGTCCAGACATCTGCTGCGCAATCGGCCCGACCTTTCGGCTTGACGTCATATGTAATGTGCATCACTCTGAGGTTGACCAGACGTGCTGTTCAAATTGTCCAAGACGGCTCAAGATGGGCCCAGTGGCCCCTTGGACGACCCAAAGAGGGCCCCAAGCTTTTTCCCAAATTAGAAAAGCAAAATGTGTTCACCGTCCTAGGCGATGACTTAGCACCGAAAAGGCAGCAGGAGGATTCCAATGGCGCCACGTGGCCTTAGGAGAGTGCAAAAATGCCCCGTCAGAAAGGAATCGCAAGACACCTCGAACTTTTCCATATCGAAAACTCGGCAACATCTTCACCTAAACAGGCATTTAAACATCCTCCTCGTGTGGCTCGGCCAGGGGGAGAGTCATGCGACACGGGGTATGTGGACGGACGAGGAAGCGCGCTACACCACCTACGCCTGGTGGGAGGGTGAAACTTATCTGTGTTTGGCGATGCATGGTTGCTGATGTTAGTGCGCCCAGTTTGCCACAGCTGTGATTCACCTGCGTTGGTGAGCGCTCCAGTTGAATAGGCAATGTCTCGGCGGAGCAGTACTCGGATGCGGGCTGGCGCTATGTGACTCCGCGTAAGCCAGGACTTCACCTCTGGCCACTTTGCATTATTGCCAAGGCCTTGTGTCCGGTGCCGCCGACCCTGAAGGCGGGACCTCCCCCCGGACCCCCGCTGGCGACCCACTTAAGGAACCCGCCAGGACTCTGGGGGGGCGGTACTCTGACCCATGAGCCCCCTCCCTGGCCGCCGCAAGCATGATGAACCTGTACGATCACCCTTCGGGCGATAACGACGTTCGGGGGGGGGGCCAACGACTCACCCAATCGATCTCACTATCGGCCTCATCATCGCTTCCACTATCGATCGCACAATCGATCTCACTCGATCGATCTCCCTCGATCAATCTCACTCTCGATCCCACTATCGATCTCACAATCGATATCATTATATGCTGGTCGACGAAAGTATGTTTTTTTGTTAACTATCGTGTCTCAACCTACTTCAAGCGCCTTCTTATTACAAAGCCCGATATGTGTTTGATGCTGTTTGTTATTGTTTGGGTGGGCCCGAACCCAATCAGCATTATCCGCCTGACTACTTCATGGTTCTATCTACTTCTCCCATGTGCGGGTACCTCTCTCATTATCGATCCCACGATCGATCTCACAATCGATCTCATTATCGATCTCATTATCGATTTCACTATTGCTCCCACTGTCGATCTCTCTACCACTCTCACTATCAGCCTCGCTATCGATTTTCAAAATCGATATCATTGGATCGACCTTACTTTCGATCACAGTATCGGTGTCGCAGTCAATTTCATTTCATCTATGTCGGAGGTGAGGGGGTGAGATCGAAGTGGAACGGAGAGCCCCCCTACCGGGAAATCGATTTCGGTTTCGTGTTCATGCGTGCCGTGCGGGCGAGGCGAAGCTGCGTGGGCGGGCGGGAGAAAGTCTCCTGTGGCTGAGGCGCGGCCGGACCAAATGTCTCCCTTCCGGGCGGCCGGTGGCCCGCGGTGTCCCGCCGGTGTCCCGCTGGTGTCCCGTGTGGCTGAGGCGCGGCCGGACCAAATGATTCCCTTCCGGGCGGCCGGTGGCCCGCGGTGTCCCGCGGGTGTCCCGCCGGTGTCCCGCGGTGTCCCGCGGTGTCCCGCGGTGCCCCGCGGTGTCCCGCCCCGCGGGTGTCCCGCGATGATGATGATGATGATGATGATGATGATGATGATGATGATGATGATGAGATGAGATGATGATGATGATGATGATGATGATGATGATGATGGTGATGCTGATGATGATGCTGCTGCTGATGATGATGATGACGATGATGATGATGATGGTGATGCTGCTGATGATGATGATGAGGACGATGATGATGATGATGATGATGATGATGATGATGATGATATGATGATGATGGTGTCCCCGATGATGATGATGATGATGTCGATGATGTTGATGATGACGATGATGATGATGCTGATGGTGTCCCGATGATGAGGATGATGCTGATCATGATGATTATGTTGATGATCATGATGATGACGATGATGGTGTCCCGATGATGATGAGTATGATGATGTTGATGTTGATGATGCTGATTATGATTGTGTCCCGATGATGATGATGTTGATGATGATGAGGTGAATGATGATTATGGCGTCCTGATGATGATGATTATCCTGATGGTGATGATGATGATGATGATGATGTTGATGAGGATGGCGTCCCGATGGTGATCATGATGATGATGATGATGTTGATGCTGATGTTGGTAATGATGATGATGATGCCCCGATGATGACGATGATGATGCTGATGATGATGTTGATGATACGGATGAAGATGTTGTCGATGATGAGGATGAGATGATGATGATGGTGTCCCGATGATGATGGTGATGATGATGATGATGATGATGATGAAAACGATGGTGATCATGATGGTGTCCCGACGATGATGCTGCTGCTGATGATGATGATGATGACTGTGTCCCGATGCTGCTGATGATGATGATTGTGATGATGGTGATGATGATGATGGTGGTGTCCCGATGATGTTGATGACCGTGATGATGATGATGATGATGATGATGATGATGATGATGATGTTGGTGTTGATGATGAGGAGGACGGTGTCCCGATTATGACGATGATGGTGATGATGATGTGGATGTTGATGTTGTTGTTGATGATGATGACGTTGATTGTGATAGCGGTTGTGATATCGATAGTGAGATCGATAGTGATACCGAATGTGATATCGATTGTGAGATCGATTGTGAGATCGATTGTGAGATCGATAGTCAGATCAATTGTGAGATAGATCGAGTGAGATCGATTGTGAGATCGATCGAGAGAGATCGATCGAGCGAGACCGATACTGAGATCGATAGTGAGATCGATAGTGAGACCGATCGAGTGAGACGTTGGTTCCTCCCCCCCCCCGAACCTCCTTATCACCCGAAGGGTGGTCGTATAGATATATATATATATATATATATATACATATATATACATATATATATATCACTACCGGTATCACTATTGCTCGATTGCTTTTGCTATTGATCTGACTGTCAATCTCACGATCGGTTTCTTTGTCGATCTCACTGTCGATCGCACTGCCAATCTCACTACGGATCAAAGACGGGACACCGACGTGACACCGACGGGACACCCATGGGACACCACGGGACACCCATGGGACACCACGGGACACCATCGGGACACCACGGCGGGACACCCCGGGCCACCGTCGGCCAACCGGGGTGGGCACGGATTTTTGGCCTGGCGGCGCCCTGGCCAGAGGAGGTTTTATTCACCCTGCCCGCCCACGCAGCTTCGCCTCGCCCGCACGCACGGACACGAAACCGAGACTGATTTTCTGGACGGCTCTCCGTTCCACTGCGATCTCACCCCCTTCAGCTCCGATCTACCTGAATTCACGAGGCCTGTCCGCTGGTGGCCAAGGGCCTCTAGCTGCCACTGCAGAGGCTCGCACCCTTGTCGGTTCGGGAGGCAGCCGGTCTTCCAAGGAGTCCACCATCTTGGTCTGCTTGAGCACGACACCGCACAAATCTGTTCACAGTAGCGGAGATAGTCACGACCAGCAGACTGCCTCGCCGTTGCCTATCACTCTGTTTCCCCGTCTACATGTTCGCAGGCACCGCACTCCTTTCGAACACCCCCTCTTCCCAGGTCGACTGGCTTACGCAGAAGATGCGAGACGCAAATTTCACTGTGGCCGCCATCCACGGCGACATGCCTCAGAAGGAGCGTGCGCATTAAGCGCTATGCTGGGGGTGATTCGTCAGCTCGAGCGGATGGAGTACAGCGTTCTCTCTTTTTCATCGTGCTTCTTTTGTGTCTCCTCCTCCTCCTCCACACATGCTCCATCTGCTTCTTATCCTAACTCATCCTCCCTGATTGCGCATCCTGCTCCTAGCTTCCGTCCTCATTTTTTCCTGTCTCCCCCTCCCCTATGTGTCCTGTCTCCTTCTGAGGTCGTCCGGGCGAAGACTCTCCTCTCGGCGAGGCGACTTGCCTTGCCGACGATGGCTCCTCCGAGAGCGACGACCACCGACGACGGCTTCCGCCGAGCAACGGCCACGACGACGACGACGACTTACAGCGACGGAGACCACTGACGACGGCTTCCGTCGAACGACGGCCACGACCGGCGACTTGCAGCGACGACGTCACTCGGATAGATACGGGCCCTCAAATATTCACGTGACGACGACCGCGGTGATGGCCACGACGACTCGTGACAATGTCGGCTTACGACCGAAGTCGACCCATAACTCCGACGTCGTGATGTTTCACAACGTGGACCTTGGACCTTCAGAGGTCTGGATCCCTTCTCAGGGAGCGGTTTTTCATCCCGAGCCGCAGTAATGGCCTGGAGCCCGCGGCCGAGGGCCCTCAGAGGCAGAGGACGGAAAAAAATCCCGTTGTGATTCCTCTGCAGCGCGAAGGTGTGTGTGTGTGTGTGCGTGCATGCGTGTGTGTGTGTGTGTGTGTGTGTGTGCGTGGGACTCACGACGAGCACGACCCCACGACGGCCAACGACGTAACGCCGGCGGCCACGGCGAGGGCGCCGCGCGCCTGCGCATTGAGCCCCGGAGGAGCGCGATGCGATCATGCAGCAGTTCCGCTCCGGCTCCAGCCGCGTCCTCATCTCCACAGACCTCTGGGGCCGCGGCCTGGACGTCCAGCAGGTCCCCGAGGGAGGAGGGGGGGGGACAGGAGGAGGGAGGAGAGGCTTGAGGGAGGAGGGGGGAGGAGAGATTGGAGGGAGGAGGGAGGAGGGAGGGGGGGGGGACAGGAGGAGGGAGGAAGGAGGAGAGGCTGGAGGAGGAGGGCGGACGGCGGAAGCGGGGAGCGGGGAGAAGGAAGTTGGAAGCGGCCCCGCGGCTTCGACGCTCAGTGAAGGAGGAGGGGAACGAGGAGGAGGAGGACCAGTGGAAACCCAATATTCATCAAGGATGTTGGAACAAACCCTCCCTCCAAGCTCCCCCTTCATAGACCCTTTAAAGGTTCATGTCCACTGAGGGAGCTGCTTCGTTGGAAGATACCCGTTTGAAGACACTGAAGCGTGCCATGACACCGTTCCCGGGACTCCAACGCAACCAGTCAAGATGACTGTTGCGTCTTGACTGTCTGGAATCGCGCCAGAACGCCATTCCTGGGGTTTCAACACCGCGAATTTACGTAACTGTCAAGCCCACACAAGCCTGAGTCCTTCCAACACACCATGTCTGGCACGGTGACCATGGGCTTCCGTGAAACTTTTGCGAATGTTCAGCACGAGTGTATGCGGCCCTCGGGCGAGAGCCACATTTTGAACAGGAGCCACCCTCAATCCGTGAAACGTTTTCAAACAATGACTAATGTGCGCGGCCCTCAGGCGAACGCCACATTTAAAAAGCGACCTGTCCTCAATCCGTGAAACTCTTACCACATGTTGAAACGAATGTGCGCGGCGCTAATGCGAGAGCAACATTTTGAAAACGGCCCTTCCTGAATCCGTGAAGCTCGTACCGCATTTTGAGATGAATGTACGCGGCCCGCGGGCGAGACTCAAATTTTGAAAAGGAGCCGCCCTCAATCCGTGAAACTGCTTCAAATGTTTAAGACGAATGTGCGCGGTCCTCAGGCGAGAGCCACATTTTGACAACGACCTGCCCTGAATCCGTGAAAGTCTTAGGCGGGCGCGGTTTCACAAGGCTGGCTGGGTCACATATTCTTCTGGGTTGCTCAGGAAGAACAACAACTTTCTGGGGAGAGAAGAGGCCGCGATTCCCACACCAAAGAGCACCTAGCGCTCCCTCTTTGCCCCACGCGCACTGCCGACTGTGGAGCAGGAAATAGCGCCCGACTGTGAGCCAGACGAAACAGCGCCCGACTCTGAAGCAGAAGGAACAGCGACGGACTGAACCAGACGAAACAGAACCCGACTGCGAAGCAGAACGAACAGCGACCAATTGCGAAGCAGAAGAAACAGCCTCCGACAGCTAGGCAAAGAAGCAGCGCCCGACTTTGAAGCAGACGAAAGAGCGCCCGATTGCCAAGCAGAAGAAACAGCGCCCGATTGCGAACCAGAAGAAACAGCGCCCGACTGTGCAGCAGAAAAACAGCGCCGACTGTGAGGCAGAAGAAACAGCGCCCGACGGGGAAGCAGAAGACACAGCGCCGGCTCAATTCTCGAGGCCCGTCGGTTTCTCGCTGCAGAACTGCGTCGGGCGCGCGTTCCCCGCGCTTGGGCACTTCTGTGCTGCTACTTCTGACGGGCTAAATATTCGAGCCAGTCAATGTTGTTTTTCGCTGCGCGCGTGCGTAGTGCTCGTGTTTCTGGCGCTTGCGCGCCTTTGTGCTGCTAAGTCTGACGACCACTCCCTGCGCACCCCCTATGGTGTCAAGAAAGTGTCTCGCCTGCGATGCCCTGGACGACAGGAGCGCGTAGCGGGCGCGCTGAAGGACCACCCCCTGCGCACCCCGTCTGGTGTCGAGCCCGGGACGACATGAGCGCATAATTAGCGTTCGCACTGAGGGACCACCCCTTGCGCACCCCATAATTTTGTTGTCGAGAATGTGCCACGCCTGCTATGCCTTGGACGACAGGAGCGCGTAGCGGGCGCGCTGAAGGGCCATCCCTTGCGCACCCCCTACGGTGTCGAGAAAGTGTCACGCCTGCTTTGCCCTGGGCGACCGGGGCGCATAGCGGCTGCGCTGAGGGACCACCCCTTGCGCACCCCCTATGGTGTCAAGAAAGTGTCTCGCCAGCTGTGCCTTCACGACTGGGGCGTATAGAGACCGCGGTGAGGCACCACCCCCTGCGCACGCGTATGGTGTCGAGAATGTGCCACGCTTGCTATGCCTGGACGACTGGGGCGTACAGGGGCCGCGCTGAGGGACCACCTCCTGCGCACCATATGTGGTGTCGAGAAAGTGCCACGCTTGCTGTGCCTTGGACGACTGGGGCGTATAGAGATCGCGGTGACGGACCACCCCCTGCGCACGCGTATGGTGTCGAGAAAGTGCCACGCTTGCTGTCCGTCGACGACTGGGCCGTCCAGGGACCGCGCTGAACGACCACCCCCTGACACACCCCATGTGGTGTCGAGAAAATGCCACGCCTTCTGTGCCTGGACGACAGGGGCGTATAGAGACCGCGGTGAGGGACCACCGCTTGCGCACCCCCTATGGTGTCGAGAAAGCGCCACGCCAGCTGTCCGTGGACGACAGGGGCGTCTAGGTACCGCGCTGATGGACCACCCCCTGCGCACACCTTTTGGTGTCGAGAAAGTGCGACGCTTGCTATGCCTGGACGACTGGGGCGTATGGGGACCGCGGTGATGGACCACTCCCCGCGTACCGTCTAAGGGGCCAGAGAAGTGCCACGCCAGCTGTCCGTGGACGACAGGGGTGCGTAGGGGCTGCAGTGAGGGACCACCCCCTGCGCACCCCCTTTATGGTGTCGAGAAAGTGCCACGCCTGCCTTGCCCTGCGAGCCTGGAGCGTACAGAGACCGCGCTGTGTGTGCACGGAAGTGACTAGGTTTGTGTCGGCGTGCCATGTGTATTTGTAAGATTTGTGTCAGGCTCTATGTGGACGTGTGTCTCATGTGGGTGCCCAGTATGTGGTGCATGCGTTTTGAGTGTATGATGCAATGGACACGCCAGGTGTGCACTAGCGTTGTATGATGTGATGTACGTGCCGTGCATGTGTTGCGCGTGGGGGGGGGGAGGAGGAGAAGGCGGTGTGATGGAGGTGTGTTTTGGGAGACGCGGGTGCGACGCGGCAGGGAAGAAAACCATAACCCCACGAAAATTGTGGGGAAAAACCAGCCGTGCCGTGAGCATTCGTTTTGGGACCGGGAACGTGGAACATTTTCCGCCCATTGACATCGGTCCGGAAACCGAAACCGCGAACTTTGGAACCTGGCGACCAACGAAATCGACACGCCCCGACATTTTCGTTTGTTTTCAGTCTCCAGGAGGACCCTTGCAGTGCAAGCGTTGATGGTTTGAGTACTCGCTGTTCCCACTGTGATTTTTTTGGCACAACATGTTAATATCTCTCTCTCTCTCTCGTTCTCTTTCTGCCGATCTGTGTATGAATATATCTGTATGTGTAAGTCACTCCTTACGGTCTCACCTTCTTTCTCTTTTGTCTGGTTTTCTGTTTCTCTCCCTCTTTCTCTCTCTCTCTCTCTCTCTATTTACTCGTTCCCTCTCCCTCTCCTTCGATTCATCCGTTCATATTCTATAAGTACGGAATACACGATCAACTCGCTATGCTCGCTTGTCGGATGTACATATCAAGCGCATGTTAATTATCCTGTATGCTCATCAGCACAGTCCCCAAACAGTCCTTGCACGTAAGGCTTCTTATCCCCGTTCTGAGGAGCTGCACCGTGTCTTCGGTCTGGTGGCCATGTGGCCGCCAGCGCCGCCCCGTCGCCGCCCGTCGTCTGGGCAGTGCCTTGGGTCTGGCGGCTATGTGGCCACCGTCGCCGCCCCGTCGCAGCCCCGTCGCCGCATAGTTTGCAAAATGGAGATTGCACCTCATAGGTTGCACGGCGGATTGCACAGCATAGATTGCACCACGTAGCTTGCATCACTTCGATCGTAGTGCCAGATACATTGCACCATATACATTGCACCGCATCGGGTATACCAAATATATCGCACAGCATGGCTTGCACAACATACGTTGCACCACAAATATTGCACCACGTAGGTTGTGCCACTAATATGCCATTATATTTATTGCGCCACATAGATTGCATCATAAGTGGATATATATATAGATATACACATATACATTTAATTATCACGTAGAGTGCACCACGTCGACTGCACCGTGTAGGCTGCACCACATAGTCTGCACCACATCAATTGCACAACGCAGGCTGCACAACAAATATTGCACTGCATCTATTGCACAGCAGATGCTTTACCACCTACGTTGTACTACGAGGGTCGGTTGTACCGCATAGGTGGCACAGCATACATTGTACAGCATCTGTTGGATTCCATTAGTTGAAGACACCATAATGCGCAACATAGACTGCATCACATATATTGCACAGCGCGGAATGCACAGCACTGGCCTGGATGTATTGTCTTCATATATCGCGCAACTTTCATTGCACTACACATGCTGCACACGCTATATTTCGCAAAATAGATCGCACACCATAGATCGCACACAACAGATTGCACATCATTGTTTGCACAACCCAGAGTGCACACAACACATTGTCCATCACAGGTTGCACCACATAATTGGCGTCACATAGATTGCACTGCATATTTTGTACAGCGTAGATTGCTAGAGCACACATTGTTCGGGGTCCACGCTGGAAAACGTATATATATATATATATATATACACATAGAAATATGCATATATACATCGGCCCAATGACAGTTCCTGGAATTTTCATCACGACGCTGGCCGGCGGAAGTCGACGGAAGTAAAACGAGGCGGAAGACGGGGGAAGGCCGCCGGAAGGCTTGCCAATGTCAGCGGAAGTAAACGACGCCCCTTCCGAACCCCCTACCCCCGTAGAAGCCTAGCAATGTTGTCTTCCTCCGTGGGCCGGGCGGGATCCCGCCTGGCTTATTCCGCTTTAGTGTTATAAGTTTAGTTCAGGACGATCAAAATCCCACCCATTAAAAATGGGGTAGACCAAAATCCCGGGCCGTTCACGGATCCCACCATGCTGGGATCGGCTCGAAGTAAGATGGGGCTCATAAGTTGCAGTATTATTGCCGTGTTTGGGTCGTCTTGAGGTCATCTTGAGATCACATCCCGGTCATGTTTGGATCACGCTACCATCGCGTGGTCATTATGAGGCCACCTTGGGTGCGCTTGGATCCATCTTGTTGCCATCGGGCCATCTCGGCGTCACGCGTTGCTCATGTGTTTCGTCATCTGCGAGTCGGCCTGAGACGGTCCAGAATCCATGGCGGGATCGCGTTGGGGTGGCATCATCCCGGGTCCTCTGGACGTTATCGTCCGTGGCCTGAGGCATTCCTGGAAGCATGTTGTGGCCATGGGACGTCTTGGGATCGCGTGCGTGCGAACGATGAGCTCGCGCGCGCGACTTTTCATCTTGCCGACGGGTTTACATACATATTATTCCTCTTGCGAGTTTCCACGGAAACTTTTGTTGGAACCAAGTATAGATGTTCTTCGTAAAGACTTCTCCCATCGCCGCGGCCCCCCTCTCTTTTAGAATGGGCTGCCGGAACTAAGTTGGGATGCGCGAGCGCCGTCGTGAAGCAATGTGGAGACTTCACGCGAGGTCCAATCTCGTACGTTGAGGCTTGCACAGCAAAGTTGGAAACCAAACATCTATCGAATTCTTACGGTTCGCGCTGTGAACATACTGACAATCATGCTTCGGGGAGCGGACATCGCGCAATGTAATGGGGATCGTAGCCTCGGGGACGCGAGCGCAGTCTAATTTGCAAATTGATCAAGGCCTCGAGGGCGCGAATTCTGGTAATTCACCAGGGATCGTAGCCTCGGTGACGCAAATATTTTTGCCTCGGCCGAAGGTGGACGGCACCTTGACAAGGTTGCTGTTACTGCTGCGTGGTCGAGTCAGCCGCGTTGCAGTGGGAGGGAAAAGTGACGCACACACGGTTTATATGAATGTATTACATGGCCTCGAGGATACGAATACTGCGTACTTTGCGATGGGTTGCGGCTTCGAAGACGCAAGTACGGCGTAATTTTCGATGGACCGTGGCCTCGGCGCGCGAACATTGCGTAATTAACGTGGGACCGTGGCCTCGGCGACGCAAACGCTGCATATTTATACAGTTGCGCATTGCATTGAATCAGGCTTATAGCCCCGAGGGCGCGGATATGGTGTAATTTGCAAGGAGGTGATGGTTCCCATGGCGCAATTTTGGCGCAATGTGCGATGGACCGTGGCTTCGGGAACGCGAGTATTTTACAATTTACGGAGGGTCGTGGCCTCGAGGGCGCGAACACTTGATAATTTATAGAAGGGCCGTGGCCTCGGGGACGAGCAGATTGCATGACGTAGGGGGGTCGTGGTCCCGGCGACGCAAATATTGCTTGATTTAAATATGGGCGATGGCCTCAAGGACGCAGATACAGTATAATGTTCAAGGGATCGCAGCTTCGGGTGCACGAATATCATATCATTTACGAAGGATTGCGGCCTCGGCGACGCTAATATGGGGAAATTTGCATGAGATGCCTCGGGGACGCGAACATATGATAATTTACTACATCAAAGAAAAACCCAATCAGTGGATGGTTTGAAAATTAGTGATACGGATATTGAGACAGATTGCAAAATCGATAGTGGGATCGATCGTGAGGACGTTTGTAAGGTCGATTGTGGGACCAATAGTCAAGTCGATTCAATGAGATCGGTTGTGAGAGCGATCGTAAAATCGATAGAGAGGTGGGTAATGATATCGATGGTGAGACCGATCGATAAGACGATCGACCAGGAACCCGGGAACTCGGGAACCCCGCTGCCCACCGAAATCGGCCGGGAACCAGGAACCCGGGGACCTGGAACCGGGAACCCGCGAACCCGGCCACCCACCAAAGTCGGCTTGACATTTTCGCCAAATTCTTCAATCTCCGCTAGGACCCCTTACAAGCAATGATTGGGGAACAACAGGTTGTGGCTACCAGGACGCAAACGTGGTGTAATGTACAAGGGATTATGGTTTCGGGGCCGCGAACGTTGTATAATCTATGGGGGATCGTGGCCTCGGAGGCGCGAATATTGTGCAATTCGAAACCGGTCGTGGCCCGGGGGACGCGAATTTTGAGCAATTTACAGGTAATCGTGGCCTCGGGGGCGTGACTGCGTAACTTACCAAGGATCACTGCCTCGGGGGAGCGAATCTCATGTATTTTTGATTGTCGCACGGCCCCGCGGGAATTCAGAGCACGCCGCCAGGGGAAGATAACAGGGTCCTTTTCGCCCCTCCCCCCTCCCCTGGCAGAGTTTACATTAGGAAGTAGGACGTAGTATCATAACAAAGGAGACTGGAAACTGCAACTGGCGCACGGGGCAGCAAGCCTAATCCGCGCAGCCTGGCCACCAAAACCGGCGCCGTAAATTTGCGCATTCTTTCAAGATTTGCGAGGACCCTTTCGGTGCAAGCATTGATTGGGATACCTATACGACCACCCTTCGGGTGATAAGGAGGTTCGGGGGGGGGGGAACCAACGTCTCACTCGATCGGTCTCACTATCGATCTCACTATCGATCTCAGTATCGGTCTCGCTCGATCGATCTCCCTCGATCGATCTCACAATCGATCTCACAATCGATCTCACTCGATCTATCTCACACTCGATCTCACTCGATCATCGTCATCATCATCATCATCATCATCATCATCATCGTCCTCATCATCATCAGCATCATCATCAGCATCATCATCATCATCAGCATCAACATCAGCATCATCATCAGCAGCATCATCATCCTCATCACCATCACCATCACCATCACCATCATCATCATCATCATCATCATCATCATCATCTCATCATCATCAGCATCATCATCATCATCATCATCATCATCATCATCATCATCATCATCATCATCATCATCATCATCATCATCGCGGGACACCGCGGGCACCGGCGGGACACGCGGGGCACCGCGGGACACCGCGGGACACCGCGGGACACCGCGGGCCACCGGCCGCCTGGAAGGGAGACATTTGGTCCGGCCGCGCCTCAGCCACACACCAGCGGGACACCGGCGGGACACCGCGGGCCACCGGCCGCCCGGAAGGGAGACATTTGGTCCGGCCGCGCCTCAGCCACAGGAGACTTTTTTCTCGCCCGCCCACGCAGCTTCGCCTCGCCCGCACGCACGGCACGCACGAACACGAAACCGAAATCGATTTCCCGGTAGGGGGGCTCTCCGTTCCACTTCGATCTCCCCCCCTCACCTCCGATTCTTTAGTCTTAGGGGCTGAAAGCGCCCCCTCTCGAAATAATGGGTTCTCAAGATGCCACGTTGAAACATGAGAGTTGCTCAGAGCGCTTTCAATGCCAGACCCAGCTCCTTTTTCCTCTTGCTTCCCCCCTTCCCCTTCCATCCTCGCCGTCTCTCCTTCCACTTCTCTCACGTCCGTCCTTCATCGTCCCTTCCCATCCCTCCTTCATTCCATCCATCCTTCCTTCCTCCCCCCTCCCTCCTCTCCGCCTGCAGCAGACATCTCGGCTCGATCATCGCATTGTCTCTCCAGGCCTCCGCGCTCCGGATTTCCGAGGTGTCGTTCGGCGGGCGCTTCTCTGCCCCCTATCCACTTACTGCCGCAAGGATGCTGCTCCCGATGCCCGCGATGCCGATGCAGACAGGTCCTCCGGGGGTGACACACAGTCCAGGCCTCCCAAATGGCATCCAAATGGAGTCAGATGATCGCGCCGCATCGCTGTTATATCGACGATGCGTCTCGACGCGGAGCCCGATCTTCTCCGCGCCGACGTTGCCGATGCACCGCTGACGCCGCTGATGCATCGGCGATGCTGCGCCATCATCCCGCCCCATCTGCTCGGACCCCATTCGGGAGGCCTCCACATAGGGCGTTCCAGCAAGGGCTTCGCGTGCGAGGGATCGAGGATTTGATTGATTTGTCGCCCTCGGCGGAAGACTTTCAGGAATCTTGTTTCCACGATGTGACACCTTTTTGGGAGCTAGGTCTTCCAGAACGGGTCACAAAGGCGCTGTCGGAAATTTGAATTCTACATGTTGGGGATGTTGGCGTCAACGTTTCCTCAAAGCTCACTGGTTTCCCCCAGATCTTGGGCACTTCATGGGCGCTAAGCCTCATGTCCCCTGCTTTCGGCTCCCCGAGCGCCGCCGAGGTCGAACATTTTCCCCGCGAGCCCTGTACTCTCCTGGCAGGGCGGCGGTGCAGGCGCGCCAGCGTTCAAGGCTGAAGACCCCGACGGACACCTGGGACTCCCGCGAGTTCGGATGCAACTCTTGGGAGGTTGAATTCAGCATCGGTCGGCGCTGGTATCCGTGGTCGGTAACCGACCTGGCAGAGACATTCTCGTGCAATTCAGCCTGATTCCGCTGAGTACGGCTCAATCGGGCTCAATATCAGGCCTAATGTGGGCCAGTGAGGCTCAATGGCTCCATCATCGGGCAGCTTGCACCCGTTCTTACGCAGACCTCCCAGGAGACAGGTGACCATTCCTGATCTCCTCCCCGCATCGTTGAGAACATCTGGACGGACGGTTTTTGGCAGTTTTCGGTTCTGGGGACCTTTTTTGGGCCGTTGGATAGTCAAACACTTCTCAGGATGAAAATTTGACCCCTGGGAAGAGGTCCGTTCTTTTGGAGAGCTACGTTCGAAAAAAGGCCACGCTTTCGGATATCTGGGGTTGAACGGCTTACTTGGTGACAGGAAACAAGCTGGCATGGCATCAGTTTATCGTAGGCACAGGACGTTACAAACGTAAAGGCTCTTTTTCTCGAAGAATCGAATGATCGAAACATCTAGCTCTCGCCCTCTGCTGGAGCTGGCGGCGACAACACAACTGTAGTTTTGCTTCGAGTCCGGCCCAGCAGCTGAGACAACGTCCGTCTGGAAAGGCGCCCACGGAGGGCCGTCGACTCGGCTCCGAGACTTCGTTCGCCAAGGCGGGAGCAGTCGTCCACTGGGCCCCAGCACTTCGTTCAAGAGAAAGGCAATCGGCAACTCGGCTCCAACACTGCGTTCGCCGAGAAGTCGGCAACTCGACCTCAAGCCCTCTTCCGCCAAGACGAAAAGAACTGTCAGCCGTCACTACGGCCCGTCTACCCCATTCCGCGACGTCGTTCGTCAAGATGAAGGGTGCGTCAAGAGCGGCCGTCAGGGGGGATCGTCAATTCGGAGGGGCGCCGTCAAGGGTTTATCAAGCCGGGGTGAGACCGTAGAAAGCAAGAGAGAGAGAGAGAGAGAGCGAGTGTGTGTAAACGGCAAGCTCTTTAAGAGGGAGTTTATGGCCCATGCGCCAAACACAATATCACGGCCACCTTTCGTGACGAATGGAATCCCATCCAGAGCAGCCGCCCGCGACACATTCAAGTTTTTTCCGTGGGAAGCTCTGCGGAAGCCGGCTGGAGTAAATGCGTCTCCCCCCCAAGAGGGGTCAAAGCAAGCGGCCACGCATAAGCCGCAGGGTGCTCCATTCCTTCGTGGCCCGAGGGCTCACTATATTTCAGGGGGCCCGCCAGCGTTTTCACTACGACGGAAGACGTGCCTCCAGTCCCTTATGCGGGTTTGAAGGACCACCTGGGTGGACCCGAAGTCCGCATTCGGCGAGTAGAAGTCACTTTTACCCGTATGCTCCATAAGCATTGTCCCAACTTACTGCTTGACATAGGAGGCTTTTATGTGGAGCACGCCGCGGTTGCGGATAAGAGAGAGGGGTCGGGCGCGGGGTTGGTCGCGGGTGGGTCCCAGGCGAGTCGCGGGTGGGTCGCGGGTGGGTCGCGGGTGGGTCGCTGTTGGGTCGCGGGTGGGTCGCGGGTGGGTCACGGATTGGTCGCGGTTGGGTCGCGGGAGGGTCGCGGGAGGGTCACGGGCGTGTCGCGGGCCGGGTCGCGAGTGGGACGACGACAAAAAACAAGCAACAATAACAACAACAAGAACAACAACAACAACAACAACAACAACAACAACGACAACAACATGAACAACAACAACAACAACAACAACGACAACAGCAGCAGCAACAACAACAACATCAACAACATCAACATCAACAACAACAACAAATCGCACCGCGGAACCCCATTTCAGCCACGCACCCAGTGACAATGTATGACAGTTCGGTTCCTTCATTGTGATCTTGCTACCTAAGGGATCGCATGTGTGCGCCGAAGTTTCGCCAGTTGGGCGGCCGTGTGTGCCTGGTGGCCGGCGCACCGTGCGCTGACTGGGTCCGCCGAGATTTTGCCTGATGGGCGACTATTGTCGCCTCGTGGGCGCCCCGTGTGTTGACAGGATTCGCCGAGGTTCCCCCTGGTAGGCACCCGTGTGCGCCTCTTGGGCGCCCCTTGCGCTGGCTGTGTCCGCCGAGATTTCGCATGGTGGGCGCCCGTGGGCATCTCGCGGGCGCCCCGTGCGCTGGCTGGGACTGCCGAGATTTCGCCTGGTGGGCGGCCGTGTGCGCCTCGTGGGCGCCCCGCGCGCTGGCCGGGTCCGCCGAGGTTTCGCCCGGTGGGCTCTGCGTGGGATCCCCAGTGCGCTGGCTGGGTCCGTCGAGGTTCCGCATGGTGGGCGTCCCGCGCGCCAGGTGGGACCGCCGAGGTTTCGCCTGGTGAGCGCCCCGTGCGCCGGCTGGGTTCACTGCGGTGTTGCCCAGTGGGCGCATGTGGGCGCCCGTGCGCTGACTGGATCCACCGAGGTTTCGCTCGGTGGAAGCTCTTGGGAGCCTCATGGGCGCCCCCAGCCCGCTGGCGGGGTCCGCCGAGATTTCTCCCGTCGGGCGCCCGTGGGCCTCCTCATGGGGCTCGCTATAAATTGCACCATTTAGCTTGCACTATCTGGGTTTCACCACATACGCTGCACCACACAGCGCGCACCAGACATATTGCACCACGGCTGGCACCGCACAGATGGCCCCACACAGTTTGCACCACGTGGTTTGACCACATAGCTTGCGCCACATCTCTTGCATTGCGCACTTTGCAACTCATGCATCGCACCACGGATATTACGTACAGGCGGCCCGGATTAGTAGGTCGACCCTGCCAGATCAAGGGTACACTCGTGCCCTGAGGTTTTGCCACCCGTGCCTCCTGCATTTCTGTGGCAACGTGGCCCCCGGAAGGGTCTTGTTCCCTCTCGCGTGCCCTCTCCAATCAAGTCCGACTGTGGTGCTTGTGCTCAGGTGTCTTCTTTCCTGGTGCCTATGAGGAATTGCTGCGATGGCCGAGGTTTCGCCTGACGTGACGAACCAACAACACACACACCCACACCCATAGGGGGTCGGAGAGGGCTGTGGGTGCGTGCTGTCGGACGGGGGTCCCCGCTCGAACGGGAGGGTTCCCCAGGGTCCGACAACCCGCACCCATACCCATAGCCAGCCCTCCTCTCAACGACCCCCCTCTCGGATGCAACTCCTGGGAGGTCAAATTCTGATGTAGCCCTGGTCCGAAATCCGGTTTAATCCGGCTTAATCCCGCTTGATCTGGCTTAATCCCGCTTAATCCGGCCTAATCCCGCTCAGTCCGAGGCCCATTCTGGCGCAACAGCTTTCAAATGGGGCTTAATCCTCCTTATTTTTTCCGACGAAAACCTCCCAGTAGTTGCCTCCTAACCCCCTATGGGTATGGGCAGGGATCGTTTCGATGCCTCCGATTCGATTCGATTCGATTTCGATGGCTTCCGATTCCGATTCGATTCGACTTTGGATTCCGATTGGGATTCCGATTTCTCAATGAGGCATTACTGCTCTGCCGATTTCGGCCGATTCGACTTTTCTCGACTTGGCTGCCGATTTCCGCCGATCCGATTCGTTTCGATCGCCGATCCGACTTATCGATTCGATTTTGGTGTCTCCTGGGTGTGTGTTGCTCGTTCGTCGTGACGGGTGCGGTGGGGCGCCCGGCGGAACGCCCCGTGCGCTGGCCGGGTCCGCCGAGGCCTCGCTCGGCGGGCAGCCCTGTCAGGAGGGAAAAAAACACACACAGACACACTTAATCCTCGATTCCCAGGAAAAAATATGGGAAAATATGGGAATTGGGGGAGAAGACAAAAACCCAGAACATATGGGAAAATATGGGGACTAATTTTATTTGTGTGTATTTATTTGTGTGTCCTAATTTCCCTTTAGTCCTGGGGGCCTCGTGGCCGCCCGCGGGTCTCGCCCGGTGGCTGCCCTTTGGGCGCCCCGTGGCGGCCCACGGAGCTGCAGAGCTTCCACCGCGCGGCGCGCACCGCTGAGCCTGCACGTCGGTCACCACCCACCAAACCACCCCAACCCAACCCGAAGGCTCAGATTTGCCCTCCATTTCCAGTGGGGGGGGTTCGCGGAACATCGAAAAAACACGTACGGAACCCTTACCCCCCCCCCAACCCGAAATTCGGGTCTTCGGGTTGGGTTGGGGTGGTCTGGTAGGTAGTCAGTCGGAGCTCGCACCGCATGCATCGCGTCGTGCAGCTTGCACCTCGCAGGGCGCACCGCTTACCTAAAACACCACACAGCTTGCACCACACGGCCTGCGCCACCCAGGTTGCGCGCCGTTGTTTACTCCACCTAGCTTGCACCGCATGGCGCACACATCCACAGCGCAACACAGTAGGATGCTGGGTCCATGCTGGTGAACCGACATTTCTATATATATATATATATGTATATATATAGATATACTTGCGTTGTCTTGGGCAACTCTCCGAGGGAGTAGAGCTCACAGGCGATGCATGTTGTAGCTCACAGGGAGTAGAGCTCACAGGCGTTCGCTGGGGACATCCTCAACAATTTGAAATTCGGACGCCCCCGTTACGCAGATCGCGTGACGTCACGGTCCAAGCACACAGCCTTGTTCAACAATGTTAGCACACATTTGTCAACCACCCACACAAAGAAATTCCATGGTGTTGAGCCCGAATCTTAGAACATGGCAGTTTCGCTTGAGTCATCCTCCAATCGAGCCCCTTGTCGGCACGATTCTTAGAAAAAGCCGTTTCGCAGGAGACATCTTCCGAACATCGAGCCCCGACATACAACACATACAAACATAATCACACAGAACACACGCATACACCATACACAACACACCACACACGGCACACACAGACATCACACATTACAGCTACAACACTTACATACCACACATAACACACAAACACACATCTACACCACAACGCACGCATCACCCACAACACACCCAACACACCCTATACAAAACAAAACACGCACACACACACAGCAAGCACTCACAGTACACCTAATATCAGAGTGAGGGGGCCGAACGGTCATTCATTGTCCCTGGGTGCGTAGCTGAAGTGGGGATCCGTGGTGAGGATTCTGCTTGTTGCGTTGTTGCATTGTTGTTGTGTGTTTGTTGTCGTCCCACCCGCGACCGACCCGCGACCCACACCGCGACCCACCCCGCGGCCCACCCCGCGACCCACCCCGCGACCCACCCCACGACCCACCCGCAACCCACTTGCGACCCACCCGCGACCCAACCCGCGACCCACCCGCAACCCACTTGCGACCCACCCGCGACCCATCCGCGACCCACCCGCGACCCTTCCCGCGACCCATCCGCGACCCACCCGCGACCCACATGCGAACCACTTGCGACCAACCCGCGACCTAACCCGCGACGCACCCGCGACCCACCCGCGACCTACCCGCGACCCAATAGCGACCCACCCCGCGACCCACCCGCGATCCACCCGCGACCCATTTGCGACCCACCCGCGACCCACCCGCGACCTACCCACACTGGCTTAACAAAACAATCGGGAAACGTTGGTGCTTGCGGCGCGTTTCTCCAGAGTCTCGCAGACTGCCGACGTCCCCACCGCCCCCTCGCTCTTATCCGCATCTGCGGGGTGCTACGTACACAACTCGCAAAGCACTCGGATTCCACACATAACAACTCACATATGGCACGACACACACACACATACACACACCACACGCACACAACACACAACACGCATAACACACACACACACAACACGCATAACACACACACACACACACACACACACTTTACACACTACGCACATCCTGCAGATGTGTTTGTATGAGCCTGGGTATGCACGTGCCACTTGTGTAATCTAAGCCGCTCCAGGCGAAAAGTTCTTGTGCCCCAGCGCCTTACTGTGCTTTGAGGCATAGGCGTTGAATTGGCTGCTGACCCAGATCATCTCCTCCCTCTCATCCCCCTGATCCCCTCGGATTTCTTGTCCTCTGGGCGTTGATGTCGGTCATGCTTTCGCCGTTACTGCTGCCCTTGCTGCTACTGCTCGTCTCTGTGGAAGTCCTGCGCTGCAGGCACACCGGGCGAAGCCGGCCAATTCAGTTGGACCCGCCAAATCGCCAGACCAGCCACCAGCCAGGCCAGGTACAGCATCCGAGCGACCGACCAATCAAGACCATGCAACCAACCAGACCAGACCAAGCAGACCAGACCAGGCGAACCAGATAAACTATTCGACCGAGGAGGCCAGACCAGACCAAGGTCACTTACAGAAGCCGAGTCCACTAAAACAACCGAGCCAGCAAGACCAGAGGAACAACCTGCGCGACCACACCGATGACACCAACAAGCTGAGATCGGATTCGAAATAACCCTGCCGACTGGACCAACCAGACCAAGCGAATTAGATAGACCAAGCAGGGGTAATGGAGAGTCCACACCAGAGCAAGCAGACCAGCTAACTAGACCAACCACCCACACCAACCATGCCAAGCAGATCAGCCAGACGAACCAGACCAACAACGCAAATCGAGCCAGACCAACCGCACCAGTCGGGCGTACCAGACCGGACGGACGAGGCCAACCAGGTGACGTACTCGATTGACCAGACAAGATCAGATTGGACCAGCCAGACCAGCCAGCCAGACCAGACCAGCCAGACCAGACCAGCCAAGACCAGCCGGACGAATTCGGCCAACAAGGCCACCCGAACCAGACCAAGGGCTCCCTCGAGGGCGCGAAGTTATTCGCGCTTCGCGGTCCTCGTTCCTCCTCCCCCTCCTCCTCGTCCTCCTATTCTCCCTTTGGGAGGGCGGCGCGAGGGCGCGAAGTTATTCGCGCTTCGCGCTTCGCGCAGCGCGAAGCGCGAACTTAGGAGCCCTTGCAGACCGACAATACGCCCAGACCGACCAGACCACGTGGAACAATGCAGCCGGCCGTCCAACCTTTTCTTTTGCAGCGAAGCAGTGGCACCTCCGAAGCAGAGCAGAATTGCAACGCCCCCAACCATTTGCTTCTGCAGTCGTAGTGGCTGGCGCTGCATGCTTCACACCTCCTTGGACCTCGAACCGCATTGGGCTCGCACGCGGAGTCATAATCAGAAGCTCAAGTTATAGCAGCAAGGCAGTGGCACTCCGAATCATACCAACATTGAACTGCAAACACACTGCAATGCGAGAAAACACGTAATGCATAACAACATTGTTTTGCTGTCGTCGTCGTGGTTGGCGCTGTGCGCTTCGCACCTCCTGGACCTCCTCAAGCCGGATTCGGCTCGCACGCGGAATCGTAATTAGAAGCTCAAGTTCGTGCAGTGAAGCAGTGGCACCTTGCAGCAGACCAACATTTCATTGCAACAAAACATTGCTATAAAGAAACGCGTGCAATACTCAAACAACTGCTTCGCTGGCGCCGTCGTGGTTGGCGTTGCGCGCTTCGCACCCCCCTGGAACTCCTCAAAGCACATTCGGCTCGCACGCGAATTCACATCACAGGCTCAATCCTCAGCAGCCCCAAAGCAGACAAAACCGCATTGCAAACACGCCTGCAATGCGAGCGAACTGCACCGCAACGAACACTGCGTTGCTGTCGTTGTGGTTGGCTCTGCACGCTTTGCGCCTCCTTGTACCCCCTCAAACCGCATTCGGCTCGCGGCGGCTTAATCATAAGGCAAGGCTCTAACAACGAGCTAGCGGCTCCCCGAAGCAGGCCAGCACTACATTGAAGTTGCAATGCGCCACAGCTGTTGTGCTGCCGTCCTCGTCGTGGCTGGCGCTGCGCTCTTCGCATCTCCCTAGACCTCCCCGAACCACACTGTGCTCGCACACATAATCATAGTCATACGGTCAAGCTCTAGCAGCGACACAGCAGCTCAGCAGACCAACGCTGCACCGTAGCAAATTGATAACACGTTGCATGCCAAATAATGCAATGCAGCAACCAAACCTTGTTTGGTTACCGCCGTCGTCGTCAATGGCGCTACGCGCCTTGCACCTCCCTGGGCCTCAAACCACATTCAGCTTGTACGCGGAAACAGAATCATAAGCTCATGCCCAGGCAGCGAAGCAGCGACATTCCGATGCTCAATCTCAGGGTTGAAGCTTCAGGCTTGCTCTGTTGAAGCTTGGCGTCTCGCCGTGCGCTACACTGCTCACACTTTTGATGCTACATATACACATGTACATTCACACGCATATGGCTATGTATGTGTATATGTATGTGCCTATGTATATGTATATGTTTTCTCTATATATACACATATATACAGCTATAAGTCTGTGGTTGCAGCCGTGGGCTCGAAACAATGCTTTGCTATGCGGTGCAAGCTATGCATTGGTATGCTGTGCGGTGCAAGCTGCGCCGTGTAAGCTATGTGGTGCAAGGCATGCGGTGCAAATTATGCGGTGCAAGCTGTGTGGTGCAAGGCATACGTTGCAAGCTATGCGGTATAAGCAATGTCGTGCAGTCGTATGCTGTTCGTGACAACGTTTGTGGAGTGAGGTATGGTGTGCAAGCTATGTGGTTGACGCTCGGTGGCGGTACATTCATATATCTATGTATGAAAAGATGCATGAATGTTTACACATGTATGCATGTACACATGTATATGTGTGGTGCCAGCTATACGGTGCAGCATTTGCGTTGCCAGCTATGTGTTGTAGGCTGTGATGTGCAAGCTGTGTAGAGCAGGCTGGGTGGTGTACGGAATGTCGTGCAGGGTGGAAGCTTTGTGGCGCAAGCTGCGCTGCGCAAGCCAGGTGGTGTAGCGTGTGCAGTTCAATCCGTGTAGTGTACAGATGTGATGCAAGCCACTCGACGTGGTGCAGGCCGTGCGGCCGCCCAGCGCACCAGGCGCCCATCTAGCGCACCCTGGCGCTGACGGGCGCCCGCCGGGCGAAACTTCGGCAGACCCAATCAGCCCACGGGGCGCCCACGGGGCGTCCACGAGTGGGCACCGGACGAAGCCTCGGCTGACCCACCCAGCGCGCGAGGCGCCCACAAGAGGTGAAATGTCGGCACGCCCACCCAACACGAGGCGCCCAGGAGCGCCCACCAGCCGGAAGCCAGCCGAAAACCTAGCACGCGCGATTTCATGACCGTCCGTAATACAAAGCCGGAGCCTCTGCGCGCAAGTACTGTTGAGGAATGTACACCCCTAGCAGCTAGCACATTTTCATTCCCGTCGCACTCGTTCTTGTCCCTGTCGACCTTGCTCTCCTGCTTATCCTCCTAACCTTTTTTGTTTATAGATGTCGTTGACCACTTACGTTGTTGCGCTGCCATGAAAGGTCCAGCTTCGCCACAGCTCAGGTCGATGAGTCCCTGGATGCTGGCGCTGCTCGTCGTGCAAACCATCTTGTGTGCGATTCGTATGTTCGTGTTTCTCGACATTATGGGCGGCTTCATTTCGGCAATCGGGATCGGCCTTGGCTGGTACTCCGTGGAGCCATTGCCACAGTGATGGGGATGTCTGGCCTTCTATACGCCGCCCTCCTCTTACCCCTCCCTCCCCCCCCTTCCGCCACGGGGAGCGGCCACTCTCTCTGTTACTCTGGGCTGTGGCCACCCTTAGGTACGCGTGGAAAGAGGACATGAACATCACCTTCATCTGCTACTGGGGGATGATGTGCCTCATCAACGGCGCGCTCGACTTCGTCAAGTGGCTCGATATGGCGGTCAAGTCTCCGTTCCCCGTGTTCTCTGCGTCCGCCAGCGCGACCTACAACGCCTACTCCGCCGTCAACCTGCTCATCCCGCTGTCGGTCCTCCCTCTCCCAAATAAGGCTTGACTGGAAGGCCCCTGCTGCCTGCTTGAGTTGAGCTTCCTCACGAAAAGTGCCCTGGGCGGGTGTCCCTCCTGTGCCCCGCCCGTGTGCTGTTCGTGAGGCCCGGGCGCGTACTGGTTCGCATTTCGCGTTGCCATCGTCGCTGCAAGGAAGCTCATTCTGAGTGTGTTCTGTCGCGGCGGGCGCACGTCGCGCTGCTACCGTTGTTGGCAGGAAGCTTGCTCCGAGCGCGCCGTCTCGTTTCCAGCGCACTTCGCGTCGCAAGCGATGCTGCTGTTTCCAGGAAGCTCATTGCGAGCGTGTCCACTCGCGGTCGGCGCCTATCCCTCTGGCGCCTTCCCAGCCACATAGCCAGCCCAGCCAGCCTTGCCAGCCCACCCCGCCCATCAGCGCTGGCCAGCCTAGTCGGCCAAACCGGCCCAGCCGACTCATTCACCATCAAGATCTCAGTTGCGTGTCCTCACGTCATGTATGTCAGCAGCGTGCCCCAGGTAAAGTAACGAATCGTAGCTTGAGGCATGCATGGGCCATGTTCTCTTCCGTCTCGGGGTGCAAAGGGGGCCCGGTGGATTTTAGAAGGTGTTCTGTTTGAGACTCGTGTACAAATATATGTATCCCTCTCTCTCTCGTTTTCTCTCCCCTGTCTTTTCCTGTATTCAAGCCGCGCCGATGATTGTGTCGCCTGTGCGGGGGACTTGCAGTAATGATTGCCTAACACAAGAATTAAAGTGGGGAGTCCTTAGTAAGGGATCCTCAGTAAGGAGTCCGTCGTCATGAATGTGTATTAAAGAATCCGTGCACATAATGAATCCTGAATATGGTCGAGTTCTAATGAAGACTATCCGTATTAAAGAACCCGTACTACAAGAATCCGTACTGAAAAGGAATAAGGGGTCCTTATGTCGGAGTCCTTAGTTGGGATCTCGCGTATGCAATATGTCGTGATCAATCGTCATACGGGGATTCAAATAAGGACTTCTTATTCTGGAAGCCCGACCCATGATGTTGCACAGTGGAATCCCTACAGGGGAATATTTCGTAACGAATCCTTCGTCATGAGTTCTCAGTCATGAATGATGGGTCGCTGCCGGAACTAGTGCCAATGAGGTCGCGCTATGGAATCCTTAATACGGCAGTTTCATTGAGGAATCCTCATTAAATAATCCTCAGGAAAGAAGCTTTTGACGGGATTCCGGATGCAATAATATTTGTCAGGAAAGTTTTCGTCAGGATTTCAGAGTAAGGAGTCCTTAGTAAACAGCCGTTTTGTCATGAATTCTTCGCAACGGAGTCCTAGTTCGAAATCTGTCGTGTGGATCCTCCGACGGAGAAGCTTCGTAGGGAATCTTTACGCATGAACCATTTTCATCGGGAGTCGGGATGAATCGCCCAGGGTCTTCAGCAAGAACGTCCAAGTAAGGGATGTCGCAATAAGGTTTTTTTTGGTACATTCTTGTCATTGGTAAGTAATCCAAAGTCTGGCGATTTATTGATAAGGACATCTTGTTGAGGATGTCTGGTGTTGATCAGATTTCTTGTTGGGGATGCCCCCCAAAAAAGGTATTTAGTCGGGGGCTGCGATTAGGGAATTCGACATACGAAATTGTGAACAAGGAGTCCTTAGTCAAGGCCCCTGCGCGGGGGACCGTGTGTGAGGGATATCCAGTAGTTCCCCGTGGTGAGGAGAACGTGTGTTACATGTCAGTCGGGAATTGTTAGTACGGGATTTTACTAGGGAGTGTTCACTCATGAGTTCTTAGTCAGGAGCTCTTAGTGGGGGGCATTCACAAGAAATTCATCATTCAGGGGTCTTCAGTACAGAGTTTTGATTGGACAAATTCTAGTATGGTGCCAGTAATTAGGAATCCAGACCCATGAACTTTTAGTAAAGGGTCCTGGATATGGAAGACTTGGTAAGACATCCGAAGTAAGGAGTCCTTCTTAATTAAGGACTCCTTACGATGGAATCCTTAAAGGAGGAACCTATTCTAGCGGGTCCTGAATCAGACCTTCAGAATACGGCATCTTGGGTCGAACGCCTTTGCACGGAAATCTTAGTCTGGTATTCCCAACAAAACATCATGAGCAAGGAGTCTTGATACATAAATACTTTGTAAGGAGGGTTCAGCTGGGAGTCCGTATGAACGAATATGTGTCATTCAATATTTAATCAGACCTCTATGCGAAGGAGTTCTTAGTAGGGAGCTTCTGCTAAGGAGCACTTGTACCCGTAGTAGGGAACACTTAGTTTGGAATCCTCCGTCGCGAATCCTTACGTAAGGCTCCCTAGCCGGGCATCTTTTGTAGGGCTGTTTCACGAGGGAACACGTCGTACATATCCCTTGGTAAGGACTTCTTGGTAAGGAATCCTTAGAGTGGAATCCGAAGTAAGGAGCCCTTTTAATACCTCATTTTAGTAAGGGATCATTCGCAATGGGTCCTCAGTAGAGACGCTCGTGGGGAACATGTATTATGGATGGAGTGGAAGGAGATTTGGGAGAAGGACGAGGAGGACGCGGAGGAGTAGGAGGAGGTCCTGCCGACTGACTGAGCTTGGCGTGCCGCTTCTACGCAGGTTTGTTGCCGACGCTCCCTGGCGTTTGTTTGTTGCACAGGGAACTGGGCCTTGGGGGAACGGATAGAAAACAAACGCAACATTGCGCTTCTGGATCCAGTGGTGCTGATTTTTTCTCTGGCCCAAGGGGAAGAAACAAAAAACGGGACAACTGGAGCCAGAGGGGCGGTTGTTGTTTGTTGATTCCGGTTTTTCTTTCCCCCAGGGCCAGACCCCCGTCAAACGGACTCACAGGGAAATCGATGTGTGCCCCCGCGGTCACAGGGAATCTATGTGTAACCACCACAAGCGGAATCTATTGAACCGCTTTCCCCCTCAGAGAGAGCAGCAAAGATCCGAGCACCATCCAGAGAGACAGATCTAGATATAACACGATCTGTAGAGGGAGAGGGGGAGAAGGAAAGAAAGGGAGAGAGTGAGAGAGAGAGCGGGTGAGAGAGAGAGAGAGAGAGAACGAGAGAGAGAGAGATGCAAGCTTGAGAATTCCAGAAAAGCGTGGGGCCTGAAATCCACCAGGCCCCCTTTGCACACCAAACCGTCTCTTCGGCCTTCCATTCGCAAAAAAAAAAACCCGACGACCAAGAACCGTCAGCGAACGCCCGAGTTCATCCGACACTTGTTTGGTGAGCAGCGACAGAATTTGGAAACTAGCGGCGCAGCCCTGAAAGCCATGAAATGTCCCTTCTTCTTCTTCTTCTTCTTCTTCTTTCGAAATTGACACCCGGGCTTCCCCTGGAGCACGTTTACCCACGGATGTCGAGGCTAGCCCATCCGCCGCGAAGCCCCAGAAATGCACACGCACCCAAACCAAAAAGGTTCCTCCTTCGTCGCTGTCTTCCCTTAGAGGGCGTTGGAGGTCCCAGATGGAACCTCGGAGACCTGCCGGAGAAGGCCGGGGGCCCCCCGGGGCCGCCCAGAGGCTCAAAGATCAGAGGACCCGGCGTTGCGCCGTTAGTGACCCTCGCACCGTTGCTCCCCTGCCCCGCGCACGGCGCGGAGAGCGCCCCCTGTTGGATGAGGGCCCTCTCTCGTTTTTTTTTTCGAGGCGTGTTCGTGATTCACCTGCACGCTCTCGGCACTGTCCTCACTGTCCCCACCTTGCCAAGCCGATTCGCGAGACGCCCCGCTTCGGTTCTCAAGGGGACGTTGCGGCCGCATGCTTGCGGGTCTGCTCCCGCCAGATTGGGTTTGGATTCTCAAGGGTTTGATTGCAACACCCGTAAAGATGGCCCTCCCTAGCAACACGCCGTTGAAATTGAAGTGCAGATTGGATGAGCAGCTGTCGCTGAGAGTCTGATGGGGTCGGATGCAGGGGGCCCGCTTCCCGGCCGCGGGGCGAGAACCCCGCGCCCCGAATCCTGCGAGACGACGTCGTCGACGCCGTCGTCATCGCCACCCCCCTCTTTCCATCCCCTCCCTTCCTTTTCCTTCTTTTCCTCCTCCTCTTCCTCCTCCTCGGCCCCGAGAGGCGTAGGGCCACCTGGTGCAGCGGCAAGTGGCCCAGAACAAAGCCAGTTGCAACACCGAGGAGGCC